CGTATCTGGCCAGCGCAAGCATCTCCACCCAGCTCCGCGCTAGCAGAAGAGGGTCATTAACATTTTAATACTTTGTGGGTGGCTGGAATCCCTGCAGCTGAGCGCCAAGACTTGGGCCCAGGGGACTTCCAGGGTATCAGCTGACCAACTGAATCGAATTTGGAAACTCGCTTTTAAAATTGTTGTTTGCCGTCAAGTCGGCCCTGACTTGGGTTTCTCAGGCAGTATTAGTAGGGAAGTAGATTGCCCAATCTTCCTTCGGAGGATTGGCTTTTAAATTACACCCCCAAAAGAACCGCGCCAAAGTGCAACAGAGTACAGCCTTTGGGATCTCCAGGACCAAGTCACCACACACCTTACAGCCCTAGCAGCCTTTCTTTAGAGAGCATGAATTGTGGTATTGTTTGTGACATGCAACCACTGGTCCTTAGCTCCTTTCCAGGCCTTTAAGAACCAGTGCAGCCATTGGAAGCTGGGGGACCTCGGGGTGTTCTGCAGGTTGAGAGGGCAGGGAAACTGGAAGGTGCAGCCTTTTCCACCACTCCGGGTGCCGATGGGGAGCTCTGGTGGCATAGTGCCTAAGGCATGTGACTATTAACCAGAAGGCTGGGGGTTCAAACCCACCAGCCACTCCTTGGAAGGTTGGGCAATCCCCTTCCGTAGGGATACTGCCTCGGAAACCCAAGGAGGGGTCGCTATGAGTCGATCTGACTTGACAGCGGTGAGTCTGGTTTATTATTATTATTGTATTCTTTTTTACTGTATATAGAAGTCCCCTAAAGCATTTAACTACTAACCAGAAGGCTGGCAGTTCAAACCCACCAGCTACTCCTCAGAAGGAAGGTTGGGCAATCTACTTCCATAGTGGTACCCCCTCGGAAACCTAAGGAGGGGCCGCTATGAGTCAGATCTGACACCACGGCAGTGAGTTTGGTTTGTTTTGGGGTGCTGATGACCTTTTCGACTTTAAAAAAACAAGAGATGGTGCTACCATGGCCCCAAATCCCTGATGGCTTGATCTTTTGGCCTAACCACACTATCTTCTTGGCTAGGAGCTGGAGCAAACAGGCAAGGGATATTCTAAGGGAGAATGGGAATGACTGCCTTTAGACAGGAAAACTTTGTGTCTCCCAGGAAGCAAAGCTCCGGCGTCGCCACAGTAAATCGTTCTCACTTCTTCACAGCCAGACTGCGCCCTGGGTTCAGCTGCACTTGGGAAAGCAGAAAGGCAGAGTTCGGCCAAAGCCACCTTGGCCGCCCTGTTGTCAGGGCCTCTCCCCAGAGTGGCCGCCACACGCACCCGCTCGTCCCACCTAGCTCGCAGCTTGGGCCCCCACTGGGCCGGGCTCCGGAGAAGGGTCCTCTGGACGCAGCTGCCGAGGAGGCCTCGACGCGGGCCGCCCGCGCGGGTGGGGACCGCTCCTCCCCGGCTCTCGTTTCCAACAGGGTACCTGGCAGAGATGCGGCCCCTGGGAGGACGGATTGGGCCCAGACTCGCAACCCGAAGGTAAGAGCGGGTGCGTCCTCCGCACCCGGAGCCGGGCGGGCTGTGCGATTACCGACCCTCCAGGAATGAACAGCATTTCTGCTCCGCTGCGAAGCCGGCCGCCTCGGCGCCTCAGAGGGTCGGGGCGAGCCCGGGAAGGAGGGAAGGGGCGCCTCCGGGTGAAGTTTCTCCTTGAAGCCGACAAGCGGCGCTGCTGCCGCGCCCTGGGACCTGGGACCCCCAGGCCAGGCTCCAGGTGGAGGGAGTCGGAGCTCCTGGGGAAGGCGGGGGGCGCCTGGCCCGGGGCTCGGCTCCGGGCGCTGCCCACTGATTCCGGGAAGCCCCCCGAGAGCGGGCCAAAGAGCGGCCGCGCTAGGTGGGAAGGGGTGCGGTCCCGCTCCGTCCCTCGCTGGGTTCCGGGTACCTGTCGAAGACTGCGGTTTGGGCCCTGCGGTCTTGCCTCCCCGCAGCCCCAGTCAGAATCGACACCCCTCAGGCCGCGGTACCTGCCGCGACACTTCTCCCGGGCTCCAGAGGCAGTCGGGCTGCTTGGCTGCGGCAGGAGACTGCAGTGACGGTGGGTCGAATAACGTGGTTCCCTCCAGCCCTCCCCTCAGCTCCTCGCGCTCTCAGAGGCAACCTGCTCTGTCTACTGTAATGGTACTTTGGCCTCAGAAAGTTTCCTCGGATGAGTTTCAAATGAAATTCGGCCTGCCCCTTACTTGGAGCTGTGCTGACCACCCCAGAGTCACTGTCGCGGCAACCGGTCGAAGCGAACTACAGCCTCGGCAGTTGGCCAGGTGAGGGTGTCTGATCTCAGGGTGACTGCTGTAAATCTGGCAGGAGATCATGTGAAAACGCGCTCACCTAAGCCGCGCGCGCTAGGTAAAGATGATCAAAATGACAAACAGCTGGGGGCAGTGACTAGTCCCCAGATACCCTGCTGCGTTTGGAGCGAGAGCCCAGCACCGCTTCCCTGCCTTGGGAAACTTGCGGCCCAGAGCGCCGTCACCACAAGGCATACTCGGGTCCTAAAACTTGGAAAGAATCCTAGCATCTGTCAGGCAACAGGACGCCAGGCCGCGCGTCGGTTGGGTAGTTTCCTAAAAGGCGCTTCACTTAGCAACAACTCAGGGATAGGGTGGGCAGAGAGCCGAGAGGGGGCATCTGGGCAAGGCAGCGAAGGCAGAGCCTACTGCACACAGGTGACTTTTAGAAAAAGTGGCTTTGCCCAGTAAACTGTGACTGTCAGCCAGTTTGCCGGGAAACCAGGCAAAGGTGGGGCGGGCCGAATCATTCCATTTTCTGAGCTATACCTTCCAGCCTGTGTCGGCCTAAGGCTTTTCCACACCACTCTCCGTGCCCGCGCGCACACACACACACACCCTCTTCCGGGTGGTTTACTTTCCATCCTAAATCCATACACCAATCCAGTGGATTGCTGGCCCTGGCTGCGGACAGTTGTGACCTTTCTGCCCAGATGGGCAAAAGAACGAGGTATCACCCAAAAGTAGGGGGCGGAGGCGCCGGTGCCTGGGGCGGGTTTGGGGACCCCAAACTCCCAGGAGGTGATGTTGGCCTGCTCTGCGCCCCCTAAGCCATGGCGGGGTACTTTCTCACTTCTGCAGGAGAAGAAGGGGGAGTTGCCTGCGTGCGGGCGGCTGGGGTCGCCTAGTCTGGCAGGAACTCTAAGGAGGTGGAAGCCTCGAATTTTTTGTTCGTAAGTAGGAGTCACGCCTTTTTATCCCCCACCTTTCCACGGGGCTGGGAGGCCTTGGCCCCACACCGCGCGGACACTTTATTTCTGTCTCGGCCACTTCCACAGGGCTGGCTTCTTCCCACCCGACGCTTTTGGGAGTATCAAATGCTATGCCACTCGCTCGAGCTTGTGGCTGCAATTGTCGGGTTCCCGCGCCGCTGGTCTTTGACAGACAACACCACACACTGCTCAGAGTTCGGCTTTGAGTCTTGGCGCCGGGCTCAGGAACTCTGTAAAAACAAGAAGTGAGTAGGAGAAGGACGGGATCCGTTAGCGGAGCCTATTCCCGGGGGAGGCGGCCGGCCGGGCCCCGGCAGGTGCGCAGCCGGCGGAGGGGCCCGGCGGCCCGCCCAGAGGACAGCCCAGGCTCTGCTCCGGCCGCCCCTCACACCCAAGAAACTTCTTTCACTCGGAGAGGCTCCGTGTTGCCATGAAAACGGATTTTCCAAGGGGCCCGACCCTCCCCCTCCGGGGCATCGGACTGGAAAAACCGAAATGG